TCCTCGGCGCTCCCGCGGCCCCGGCTCGGGGTTCCGGCTCAGAGCTTCGGGGTCTGTGCTGTCCGGGCTCGTGCGCGTATGACGCCTGGCGACTCTTAGATACGAGCTTTGTCCCTTCACTTTCATGTCTAGGGAGATAAGTGCCATTTCTCTGGTATCTGCTGGGTTCTGTGTGCCCACCTCCAGCCAGGAGCCTGGCATGTCGCGCACACTTGACATTTACCTACAGATGTTTTTACAGTCAGAGAAAGGCTGTGTGTGCAGTGGTCGCCACACTGCAGAGAACATCCCAGAGCTCCAGGCTCTAAGTGACCTCTTTGGCTACTTCCAACGGCGGGGCCGCCAGCAGAACCTGCTGATGGCCTAGAGAGCTGGCCGCGAGCCAGCGCAGCAGCCTTTCTCCTGCGCGCTGGCCGCATTTTGAGTTGTCCTTACTTTTCTACGAAGCTTGAACAGAGGTGTTCATTAGATTCGTGCCCTTCTTCCTTATCTGCCTGGACGAAATCTGACTGGAAAAAGGTTCCTTCTTTTCTAATACGGGTATGTTCAGTGTATGTAATATGCTGGAAACAGAGTAAGTGTATTTACATTCTTACACTTAAATACGAATACATTTGATACCAAAATAATAAGGAAAAAAAAGAAAGAATACCAGAAATCATGGGTTGTTTTTAAAGCAACTTCTGTGCACAGGAAGAGCGCTGACCTTGTGCTCTGTCTGCAGGCCGAGCTGACGTTCTGCACGGGAGACATCATCACTGTTTTTGGTGAAATTGATGAAGATGGTTTCTACTACGTAAGTGTTTGAAACCTCTGTCTGTCCTCTCAGCACTTGAGTCACTCGTCTTCGTACTGCTGTGTGTCAGGCTAGATTATCAGTACAGTCAGTCTTTGTGATGCTAAGTGTCCTGTTTTCGTTGCTAAGCTTACTTTTTATCAGTAAATTTTGACTTGTATACAACTATTTTCATAATTATTTTGAAAGCACTGGGTTTGACGTGCTAACATTTTATTCAGAAGTTACACTTATATTCTAGAAATTCTATCTATCTGTATTTTTTGGAGCACCTTTTTTTATGGCTTTTGGTATCAGGATTACTCTAGAGATACTGAGTGAATTGGAGAGGTTCCAGTATGTTTCTGTCCTCGGAGCAGATCAGTGACACAGGTAGGTCTCGTCACCACGTGAATGTGCCTGCAGTCAGCCTAAACGTCGTCCAGGTTCAGTGCCTTTTCAGAATGCAGTTGTACAGAAGTTTTCATTTGTTTAAATAACTATCTTCTTATGGAGTCAGTTTTTAAAAATGTGTATATATTTGGAAAACCATGCCTTTCATTTAGATTTTTCAAGTGTTCAGACAAAACTGGACATAGTATTTTCTGGTAATTTAAAAATGTTTTTCTAATATTATCTGCACATGCCCATTCCTACATTATGTTTTGTTTTTTCTCGAATGACCTTGCTTAAATTTTATATGATCATGAGAATCAGATGTAAATTGATATGAAATGTTCATTTTTTAGTTCTCTCACCACCAAATGGCTTTACTGTTACTTTGTTGGTCGAATTTACTGAGTTGACCACCCAGTCCACTTACCGTTACTTTTTATTTCATAAACAAGAACACCTAACTTGACACCAAACATGTTAAATTTCCCCAAACCCGCGTTCTTTGACATCACGCGCAATCGTAACCACTCTCAAGAGAGCTGGCGGCTCTTTCATGGGCTCGACTGCTGTTCCCGCGACGACAGCGTGGGCGTAGCCAGAAGGACCCCTCTTGTCTCTCTGGGCCTCTCCCTCCATGACGCGTGACATCCCCAGTTAAGTCGCCGCGTTGTCGCCAGGCACTTGAGGCTTCTGGTACCTGTGATCCTTAACCCTTGTGCTGTGTCAGCCAAACGTGTGCCCTGCGTGAGCTGACTGGGCGCGGGGACCGGCGGGGACCAGCGGCACCGTTTGCTCGGACGTGAGGCCTTCCCACAGCTCGCGTCTGGCCTCCAGCACATCAGCAGTGGGACGGGGGCTGCAAGGGCAGGGGTCGGGCAGGGAGGGGCGTGCGAGCGGGCAAACGTCCAGGTCAGGTCTTCTCTCAGAGACAGGGGCTTGTCGGGCTTGCCGGTGGGCTGCTGAAGGGAGTGGGAGCCCCCGGGGCGCCGAGGCCGGCCCGTCGCTGGCGTCCGAGGAGGCGTGCTGTGAGCCGGCCTGGTGCCGGCCCGGAGCCTGCACGTGAGGTCGCCCCGT